CAAAGGAAAAAATTAAGGAGGACATCTGGGTTTTTGGTTTGAGCTTGAGTTGGTGATGATGAATCTGCTAAGAGAAAGAGTAGGGAAGAACAGGTTTCAGGGACAAAACCAACAAGGAGAATCCCTTAGGTGTGCAGGGTTTGAGATGGTTATTTACACCTAAGAAGAGGTGTCAAACGGACAGATGGATTGGGAGTGGAGCAGCTAACAGGGCAGGGATAGGTGCAAATATGCCATTGTTTGGAGTATTTAGAACCACAGGACTAGGTAAGACCATTAGGGAGAGAGGGGATGGCTTGAGAGAAGGGGTTCAGGAGGGAGCCCTGAAACATTCTACTAACTAGATATCTGTAAAGATAAGGAGCCAGGGAAAGAGACAGAAGGGTTGGCCAGGGATGAGGGCTAAGGAAGAGCATGAGGAGAATATTTCTTCCATTGGTAAGAATAAATTTTTACTTATTTATTTATCTGGTTTTCTGAGACAGGGTCTTGCTATGTAGTTCAGGCTGGCCTTGAACTCGCAGGCTCCCTCCTGCCTCAGCTTTCCGAGTGCTAGGATTACAGGCCTGGGCCACCATGCCTGGCATACTGTACTTTGAATTCTAATCTTTTCCCAAGCTAGCAGTATCATGCTTTCTCTTGATGCTGGGCAGCAGCAATGAACTGCAGCTCCCAGTCAGCCACATGATGGTGTGCTCTACCCTGTGCTGTTGTCAGCATTTTTAAAAATACAAGTATTCATTAAGTTATATGAGATATTCAACCCTTTATTATAAAGCAGGCTTTGTGTGTTAGATGATTTTGCCCAATAATAGGCTATAATGCAAGTGTTCTGAGCACATTTAAAGGAGGCTGGGCTAAGCTGTTGTTTAGTAGGTTAGGTGTATTAAATGCATTTTTGACATAATATTATCAACATAACAGTGAGTTTTAGAAGTGTAACCCCGTTGTAAATTGAGGAGCATCTGTACTTCATAATTTTGTTTAAATCAATTGTAGCATTTTCATTACATGGACTTTTAAACATTACTCATAGCTGAGCCATGTCACAGTACACTATGATTATGTTTTCTTTTTTTATTTTTTTGAGACAGGGTCTTGCTATGTAGCCCAGGCTGGCCTTGAACTCATGATGATACTCCTGCCTCAGCCTCCCAGAGTGCTGGGATTACAGGTGTGTGCCACAATACTGAGATAATATGTCATATATATTGTTTACCCCTCCCTGGAATTTAAAATTGCCTTTATTTAAAAATTTTTGGCAAGGTCCGGAGTTCAATCCCTGGTACCAAAAAAACCATTTTTGAGGGGGGGAAGGCTTAATTTTCTGGGTTCTTATTTCTAAGTCATCCCCAAACTCTCCATTGGCAGTATAAAGCCTCCTATCAATTTCTTCACAAACATCAGGTGATGCACGTTTCTTTTTTTTTGCCCCTTGGTAATGTATTTCTGGGATCTCTTTGTAATCCTGCTCCAGCCTGGACTGGTTGCTGTTGTCCTGAGATTTCTTGTCACTGTCATCTTTAGGACTCCTTTCGCCACCCTCCTGTGCTAGTCTCCTATTTCCTGGGCCCCATGTCTTCCTGTTTTCAGTTTATTCTTTACTTTGGGGGAAGTATATCTTCTATCATCTTTCCCTGAGGACGCATGCATGAGCGGTGAATTTTTTTTAAGAACTTGCACATCTGTAACTTTTAAATTCTCCCATTAATAGTTTGGTTAGGTAGGTAATAAATTAGTTTGGCAATAAATTATCCTCAAATTTATTATTATTAGTTTTTATTATTATTTATTAGTATTAGTTTGGCAATAAATTATCCTCAAATTTAAGACACTGTTTCATTGTTTTCTAGCTTCCAGCACTGGTCTTGAGAAATCTGAAGTTATTATTTTATTTATTTGTTTTTCGAGACATGGTCTTGCTATGTAGTTCAGGCTGGCCTTGAGCTCACTATGTAGCCCGAGCTGGCCTCAAATTCGAGGTAATACTTCTGCCTCAGCCTCCTGAGTGCTGGGATTACTGGTGTGCACCACCATGCCTGGCCTGAGGTTATTATTTTTAATCCTTTAAATGTGATCTGTTTCTCTCTTTTTCTGTCCCCCATCCCATCTCTCTACACTTAAATTCATTCAGCTACAAAAGTTATAACAGGACACAAACAAATTTGGTAAGGGAGTGGGATGGGGTGCCCAGGAATAAAGTAGAAAAACTATGGAAAGCGCAAGGTCCCAAGTTCAATCCCCGGTACTAAAAAAAAAAAAAAAAAAAAAGTAGAAAAACTAAACTCCACTCGAAAGACCTAACCTATGATCCCTGTTGATGTATATAAAGGACATTGCTTCCATGCAATAGTGTGGCTCCCATGTCCTAGACCCCAGTCTTGATTCTCTTAAAGATAGTCTCTTCTGTATCCTGATATTTTCCATTCCCCATTTACTCAGCTAATCTGAGCTGGAAAATCTATTGGTAGTTATAGGATTATATAACTTCAAAGAGGTTTGAGATTAACTATAGAAATTATGAGCTAAATTAAACTCACAATACTAATATTTTTAGCTCTAGCAATTAAATGTAAGACAATCTGCATGGGTTTGTTACTTATCTGAAGTGTAATAGCAAAGATGGAAATTATTCTCTGACATGTTTCTCTGTGATTTCAATTTGAAATGGTAAATGATGCACTTGGGCTTTTAAATAGAAAGTGTAAGAGCATTTGGCTAAGTATATAAACAGTAGTGATGGTGATAAGAGAATTGTGTTGCCAGTTGGAAATGCCAGCTGCCAGGAGGTCTTCCTGGGGGCATCTGTTAATGGTCACTGCACTACCACTGGCTGTTACAAGACTAAGGTACTCCCCCTTCACCGAATGTGCCCCCAAATGAGGATGTACTAGCGAATGCACAGTGGAGACCAAACTGAAACACTTATAAAAGCAAATTTTGCTAAAGGCTAGCTGAGTTTCTGAAAACCAAGAAAACATTTTCTATAAAGGATCAGATTATAAATATGAGGCAGGCTAGGAGGAAAATCCAGAATGTCATATAAAGACCTACATAACTACTTAAAATGTAACCATTAAAAAATATAAAAATTATCTTTAGTTCTAGGATGGTATAAAAATACCCAGATGGACTTGGCCTATAAACTATAGTTTGCTGCTCCCTGGGCACAAAAACTAAAAGGATGTAGTAATGGTTTAGATATGGCCAATGTGTCATATGTTGAAATTTAACCCCCATTGTGAGGTGTTAAGGGGATGGAAACTTAATCTGTTATGGTGTTTAGAGGTGGGACTTTGGGAGGTGACTAGGCTTAGATAAGATCATTATAGTGATGCTCCCAGGATTGAATCCTGATAGCTTCGTAAGAAAAGGGAGAGTGACCAGAGATACACAGGTGCTGCCTGCCTCTTGCCATATGGTGCCCTGGGGTGCTTTGGGATGCTGCCAGCAAGAAGTCTATCACTAACACGTCCCTGTAGTCCTAGCCCTTTGAGAGGCTGAGGCAGGATGATCACAAGTTTGAGCCCAGCCTGAGCAACTTAGCAAAATGGTCTCAAAATAAAAAATAAAAAAGGGCTGGGGATGTAGCTCACTTCGAAGGCCCTGGGTTCAACCCATAGTACCACCAAAATAAAGAAAAGAGGGCCATCGTTAGATACAGCCCATAGATCTTGCACCTCTAAAACCGAGTCAAAATAAACTTCCTCTCATTATAACTCGCCCAATCTGTGTAACTGTTATTGGCAACAGAAAACAAGGGCAGATGTTAAGGGAAGTAAATGCAAGGAGAAACAAGAAATTAAATAAACTAGATGTCCAAGTTCAGCTCACCAGACTTCTCATGGGATTCCCCAAACTACTGTTCTTAACATTTTCTCTACTGGAGGACACACAAGGAAGCAGACCACAGTGGTGGTCATATCAGTGGGGAAGGGACAGACCATTTGAAAAACTTCATCCCAGCCTTCTCCCTGCCAGCTCCCAAGTTTTGTAGACATTAAATGTGCTTGTGTTTATTGTGTGTGGGTCACGCCAGGTGCTAAGTTAAGCACTAGAGATATAGCAGTGATCTAGACTGGATCTCTACCCTAAGGAGCTTATGGTCTCCTTAGAGGTATAGGGAAAACACATATTCTATTGAAGAATGGTTGCCTATTCCGATACGGTATCTGCATGGATGCACACGGAGGGCGCACACTTCACCCTGTTTACAGGGATTAGGAGAGTCTTCCTGGAGAAGATGATGTCAAAACTGAGGCCTGAAGGATCAGAAGGAATTAACAGTAGAACTTAGTAGGTGCAGTGCAGCACATGCCAAGTCGCAAAGCCGAAAGGGAGTACTGGCATGTTTAGGGAGTTGTGAGTTCTTGTACAACCACTTGCTGATGCACATAAAATATGTGTTCTATTTCCAGATTTTATTTTTTCAGGTGGTGACTCACTATGTTGCCCAGGCTGGTTTCTAACCCCTGGCCTCAAGTAATTCTCCCAGCTCTACCTTCCAAGTGCTAAGATTACAGGTGCAGGTCACTGTGCCCAGCTAAATATGCATTCTTAACAAAGCACACAGAGCCAAGAAAACATGCCTAAAGCAACATTTCCATAAAACAGTATTTTTCATACTTCCGTACTACTGCTATCTTGATAATTTTTGAACTAAAAAGCGAGGGTATAAAAAACAAGTGCAAGTTTACTTCCTTCGGACAGTCGAGTTTCACGTGAGCCACTCTGGGAGAAGGCTCCTTTTCCATAGCCCAGGGCTCCCTCAAGCTTCTTTCACTGCGGACTGGAGACTGAACGCGGTAAGGAGGTCACCGCAAGGGCGAAACTCCCTTCCCCAAGGGGAAGCCGGAGACCCCTTTTGGTGTTGGGCCCGAGATCCGGCCGCAGAAGCCGTAGCGCCGGCAGCTGTGGGCGTGGAATGGGCGGGACTGTGCAGTAGCGACCAATGGGAGCTGAGGCGGTGGGCGGAACATCGAGGGTGGGCGGGGCTGCGCGCTGGCTCCCGCCCCGCTCCCGCCACCAGGCGGTCTTTTCTCAGCCTACCGAGTGGCGATCCAGTCAGGCTCCTGCTGCTCCTGAGTGGCGAAGGTGGAGGGCCACTGCCGCAGGTGAGTATCTGGCGTGCGCCTCTTCCCTTGCCCCGCTTTCCCGGAAGCACCTGGAACCCTTGGTTGGAGATGTGGTTGCGACCACGGTCTCCGGAAAGCCGACAGGGCCGGGTGTGCTCGGGTTGACGGTGCTCCCGGGTTCGCATTCTGGGCCGGCTCCGTGGGACGCGAGGTTCCAGGACTGGGCCTCCAAACCCGGCTGCTGCTCCGGGGTCCGGCAGGTCTGTGGGAGGCGCTGTAACTGTGGGTGACTCCCGTGCCAGTGTAGTTGAAGTGCACGCGTGGAGCTCATCTTGGGATCTCAGCGCCCCCACCCTGGCTGCCGAAGTTGGTTCCTCCTGCCGGTGCGTCTTTTCCTCCGCCCACTAGTGGGCTCATTCAGACCGGGCAGCCTCAGCATCCGCCGGCCTCGAAGCTCGGGAAAGCGCACGCTAGCCTTTGACTTGAGCACGAAACAAGCCGGGTTGGCTCATGTTTGCAAGAACCGATCGAATGAATTGGCTTTCAAACTTAACGTAGCTCTGGCTTTTCTCTCTAAGTGTAATTTCATATAAAGCAGTTACAATGATCAGAAGTATTTTTTCTGAGCAAGAATAGCAAAACAGTGTTGGAAGTGCCCCGCAGAGTCTACGTTTGTCCTACTTGTGTAATGAGAAAGTCGAAAGGCGTACATTTCGGGCTTGCTTTTGCTGCTGTCAACCTTTGTGACCATGGGTTCAGTTAATTAATGTGAGATGAGATAGGATTTCTAAGATTCCTTTTTTTTCTTTTTTGGCACCAGGGGTCTCATAGCCTCGCGCTTGCCAGGCGCTGCGCTGCTGAGCAACATCCTTAAAGCTTACATTTCCTAAGTTTGTGCTGAGCTTATTTTGCATCCTGCCCCCTTAAAAAGAATAGGAAATAGAGTTCATGAAAGGGTAACCCAGCAGGGAACAAAGATTTATGAGAACACAGAAGTTTAGACATTGATTGCAGCTTAAGACTGCAGACTGAAAAGGCAGCACCAAGTAAAATTGAAAGAATTTATCAAGAATTAATTACGTAAGAGAAACTTGGAAAGATTTCATAAGTAGTAGCAGCAAGTGCTGTAATTAGCTCTCTTTACAGCTCAACAGATAAGGTCAGATAAAAATAATTATTAGGTAAATATATGAGAAAATACAGTAGAGGACCGGGGATTTAGCTCAGTGGTGCCGCCGCCTTGTCTCGCAAGTGCAAGGTCCCTAGTTCGATCCCTGGTACCAAAAACAACAACAAAACAAAACAAAAAAGAAAATATAGTAGAAAGGACGGGTAACAATGTATATCTTACGTATAGGGAGAATTTTTGGAATTTTTTTTTTTTTTGTACCGGGGATCCAACTCTGGGACCTTGCGCTTGCAAGGCAGGTGGTGGCGCCACTGAGCTAAATCCCCGGCCCTGGAATTCTTTATATATTTACGTTCAGAAAATACTTTTCTTTATTAAAAATAAAGTTTTGTATCTCATGCATAAAAATTGTACATTTATTCTGGATATGTAGAATTCCCCTGCACCTGTATGAGTGTGTGTGTGTGTGTGTGTGTGTGTGTGTATGTGTGCCTGTATGCATGGCACAGTACTCGGGATTGATTCTGGAATCGTGTACATGCTAGGCAAGCACTATGCACCTGAGCTGTAGCTTCAGACCCCATTATGTTTTGTTTTTAAAACAGCTTTAAAGATAGTGTTCGGGTGCAAAGGAAAGATAATGCAGTCCTTCAGAGAGACATTAATTTGAATGGCCCATAGCTGTAACTAAGGAAAGTCACTTTTCTTCTCTGAGGTTGTGAAATCTGGATGATACTTATTTCATAGGGTTGTAAGAATTAAATCCTGCCAGAAAATGTATAACAAAGCCTATCATCAGGTATTCTGTAATGACGGCTTTTGTTAGTATTGTATTCATAATGCAGCAAAGAGAAATGGTCACTGGTTTTAGTCTGACTTAGAGCATGGCCAGAAGAGTAAGGGATAGTGGGAAGTGATTTAGTAACTGCCTGACCCTGGATTTCTAGGAAGTTGTAATCTTTTTCCTGGATCTCTTGCTGAGATGCTGCCCAGACAGTTGGCTGCTAAGGTCCCATCAGTCTGACTGTCCTGGCCTGTAAGACTTGGCATTTCAGTAGAATTGAGACTTTTTCCAAAAAGCTGCTTGAAGTTAGTACAAGCCCTTCAAAGAGAGCTAAAAGCAAAGAAATAGATTAGTTTACTGAACAGGGATTGCAGCCCAAGCTAACTGAAGCCCTGTCACAGCTTGCTGGGGCCGGTACAGTTTAGTGGACATAGGCTCACATATTCTAACTTTAACTAGCACCTCTTTTTTTTTTTTGGTACAGGGGATCGAACTTGGGACCTTGCACTTGCGAGGCAGGTGGTGGAACCACTGAGCTAAATCCCTGGGCCCTGCACCTCTTCTTGATTGGATGTTCATCCACCTCCCAAGGCTTCCTGGTTCTTGTGTAAGCCAAATCATTCTTTCTTTTACTCTGCAAACATTAACTTGAGAAGGCCCAGTGATAGTGACTGCTCAGGGATCTAATGTCAGTGTTTGGAAAGGAAAACAGAAGAGCCAAGAGGCTGTTTTTAACTTTCTTACAGGATAACTTTTAAGCACTGTAATTGAATAGAAAGTATTTTTTACAGTGTGGCCAGGAATGCTAATGCAGGGGTGAACGGTCATTTGTGGAAGATAAGTTTTGTTTTGGCAGTACATCTGAAAGCACATGTGATTCAAAAGGATGAGGAGGCAATTGCACAACAATTGTTACAGTTGAGGATTTACATGATTAATCCAGAGCCTTTGAATTTTAATCTAAATAACTAAAAATGTAATATCAAAACTGACAGAGGGAAAGGCCTAAAATTAGTGCCATAAAACTAGAAAGTTAATGAGGTGGCATGAGGTTATATGACAGTATAGTTAATTTTTTAAAAATCAAAGACTGATTATGGTAGGTAGAAGAGGATTGTTGTGAGTTCAAGGCCAACCAGGGCTACATAATGAGACCTTTTCTTAAAAATAAAAGCTCCAGGGCCGGCGATTTAGCTCAGTGGTTCTGTCACCTGCCTCACTAGTTCAAGGACTCGAATTTGATCCCCGGTACCAAAAAAACCCCAAAAAACAAAAATCCAAAAAATTGGTTATAATTGTATTTCCGATAAACTTCTGCTGACATTTTGGAGGGTTTTTATGTGTGTATATGTATGTTTTGTGTGTGTGTGTGTATGTCCACATGGTACATATATATTCATTGTTTAAAAAAAGTCACTTCTAAATAAGATGAATAGAAAGATCAACTATAACGTCATCATTACAAAGTAACTACTGGGCGAGGTGTTTAGCTCAGTGGTGCCTCAGTAGAAAGAGCAAGGTCCTGAGTTGGATCCCCAGTACCAAAAACCAAAAAAGTAACTAATTAAAAGAGTAATTTAAATGGTCATAGTGTCCCATGGTATAACTTGGTTATCATTTATGTAATTTGGTGATTTTAAGTAATGGCACAGATACTTGGCCTGCATCCTTGCAGTCTTCATTCTGTCACTGGGGCCCTGGTATCTACTTTTAAGAAGCTCTGCAGCCAGATTAAGAACGCTTAGGGAATCCCCTGTTCCACATAGGTGCTTGAGAATACATAGTGTCACACCACACAAAATAAGAATTGTGTAGGAGGTAAGGGTAGGGGAAGTGGCAACAACTGATTAATGACTTGCTCTTCGGGTGATGAGAATGTTTTGGGACTAGACCGGGTGGTTACACAACGCTGTGGACATAGTAAATGCCACTCAGTACTTCACTTTAAAGTTATTTTATGTTGTATAAATTTCACTTCAATAAAAAACTTGGGATAAAAAATTACAAGAACACAATTTTTATATACTATTCATTGGGAAAATAAATTACTTTTTAGAATGTTTTATGATTTTTCTCTTAAGCACATTTTTATTATTTATGATGCCTCCTATTAGCAGTACCTTTTTGGTTCTGCTTAATAATATGTCCTAGGGCTGGGGGTTTGGCTCAGTGGTTCCTCTGCCTGCCTTCCAAGCGCAGGGTCCTGAGTTTGATTCTTGGTACCAAACAAACAAATAATATGTCCTACTTACTAAAATTAATAGAATATCTTTAATCATCACAGACTTCTTATGGGTTCTTTATTTTTAAAATGTTCTCAGTGGCTTATGATATTGTCTAGCCTTAGATTGTAGCAGAATGTTGCACTTGGAGTCAGAATCCAGATTGTTAGCACAGTTCTGTCCCCATCAGCTGTGTGGCCTGAGGCAGGATACCATGGTGTGACTGGATTTTTATAGTCTGTTATGGAAATATTTGACTTCCTATCGCAAGTTTTTTGGGGAGAGCCACTGAAATCACTTATATAAGACACTTAATAGTATCCATGTATCACTGTTAGGTAACCATTATTTTGTTATTTAACTTGGCGATCAGCAAAACCCAAAAATGGGTTGAGGAAGTTGCTAGTGGACAGTAAATGAATTATTAGCCTTAGTATTAATATGTGAGGCGAACATGATATCCACTACACTACAGAAACCACTCTCTAGACTTACTATTAATATGTTCCTGGGCCAGGGATGTAGCTCAGTGGTTTTGCCACCTGCCTCTCAAGCACAAGGTCCCAAGTTCGATCCCTGGTACCAAAAAAAAAATATGTTCCTATAGTCTATAACTTACAGTGTTAACCATTATATTAGTTATGAATTTAGCAAAGCTAAGAGTTAACTATAGGTATTAAATGTTTCCAAGGATAGTGAAAGGATAGTATGCATGTTTTCATGGGTAATGAAAGGAATTTAGGTGACAAGGCTTACTTTTTGGTACTGAAATTCATAAAACATACGATGATCTTCTGGCTCTGTGCTTAGGGAGCCTTCTACCCCACTCATTTGTAACTACTTTGAGCTTGGTTAAGATCTCCAAATAAGGAAAGCTGTTAGATTTATATAGTGTCCTCTCTGAGCTCCTTATACTTCCTCTTAGCTTAAGCACGCTCCTTAGGCTTGTTGAGAACTGGCATTCTGGGCAATAGTGACTTGTGACAGGCTTCTGGGAAATTAGACTTGGAAAATTCCTGAACACATGCAAAATAAAAACATTGAGCATATTTCTTGCCAAAAATTACTATAATAAATTAGAAATTTTATTTTAAACTGACAATATAGTTGACTTTACATATACAAAAATGTATTTGTTTCTTGTTAATGGGCACAAGCCAGATTTACCAAATCAGATCACATACAACTGCGGAACATATGTATCGTGAGTGGGAAGGCTGGGCCGTGGCACATGAGTGTGTCACAGTCAGAGAGGACCATGAAGGGGAGAAAATTGGAAGACAACATTTAGTCAATGTCTTTAATATATATAATATTTAATTCCTACAATAGGCCTAAAGTTAGGCATTTTATTTCTCTTTGTGAATAAGAACATGTGCACTACCCATAGTTGGTTGTGTTAGCTGTTGTGATGATGATTTTTGGTGAAAATACCTAGATTGCTGGTCAACAGGAACTTCCTGAAGAAGGAAATATGTGGCTCTGACCCAGATCAGTGTCTTTCCTGCCTGCTAAGCTGCCTCGCAGTTAGTGACATAATATGGCTAAGAGAGCTGACATTATCAGAGTGTACACTAGAAGTAGATTGTGGTAATTTTAAGTAATTGTCACCTTCCTGCGATAGTGCAGGTTTGTAACATTTTTCTGCTCCAGTGTACCTGATGCCTCTTCTTAGGGACTCACTAAGACAGTGGCAGATGAATAGCAAATATTTACTGCAGCAAGAAGAAAGAGCCAAGATAAAACAGACTGTCCAGAAAACAGCCACCACCACACTACACTGAATGCATATGCATACAACAGTGTTAGCCCAGTACAAGACTTCTTGAGGCCTGAGTAAAAATTAAGGGGACTTAATGTTGAGGATTGTTGTAGGGGGCTTCAACCCCTTGATGGCACTCTCTGAAAACCAGGGATTTTAGAGAAGAAGCATCCTGTGTGACAAATTATAACTTTGAATAATCATCTTCTTGTGTCCAGGAGAAAACCCTATTGGAGATGATGCTTGTATGATTCTAAGCAGAAGTGACAGAATGTCAGCCCTCAACTGGAAGCCCTTTGTCTATGGAGGGCTGGCCTCCATCACAGCCGAATGCGGTAGGCACCCCAGGGTACCAAAGTTTGATGGTGTTTGCAACTTAGTAGGGTTTCCATTTGCCATTTGATGTGAATGTTGTTCAAGTGTAGATTGTTACAAAGCAATCTCAGAATTCAGAAATGCCTTCTTTTGGTATGTTTTTAAGACAGAGTAGTCATTTTGGCTGCTTACTAGCAGTTTATAGTTCAAAGTGCAACAGGGAGAAAGTTGAGCCTGTTGACTGAATAAAAGTTATGACTCCTGTTTTGATTGCATCTGTCCCTGTTTTCCTTGTCCTTGTCCCCACTTTGCCATTATTAACCATTTGGTTGTAAAAAGGTTTAAAAAGCTCAAGCATCTTCCTCGAGCCATATTAGATTGCCTGTACTTAGTAAGTCACTTTCTAATTTTGTATATTGTCCAAATTCTGTTGGTATTTTGACCCTGTTTATTCTTACATCATTCATTCAACGTGCATTGTTTGAGCAACTTCTGAAGACCAGTGCTGGGATGGATTTTTCATTTGCTCAGTTGCCTTCCAAGGCCTGTTAACTACTCACCTAGTGGGCTGGGTTCTCTATGCTAGTGGGCTTTCAGTGAATGAATTGATAAATTTCAGTGAATGATTCTCTCACTGAATAATTAACCTTGATTCAAGAATCAAAGTTACTGTTCAAGGATGGGTTTTGTATATTTGGGTATATATATATATAT